AATATTGTTTATTAATAAGCTATCATCATCCTTAATCCATGCATTATCTTCATTAGCTAAGTTTATCAATGTGGAACAAAATCAGAAAAAAAATTTAATTTGTAATTTTTAAATTTAGGGAATGATATATGGAAAGTGAAAGAGAGTTAAGGAATGATAGAGAAAGAGAGAGAGAGTTGTTTGGGGGGTAGTGAATGAAAGGAAAACATTGATTTGCAATTTCTTTCTTTCATTTACCATTATTGCCGCATATTATATTGTTAAGCAAAATGATTTTACAAGCTATTATGGTAAAAATATTTGCTTTTAAATATAATTTCACTGTTTATTTAATTGTTTCATTTTGTTTCTTCTTTTTTTCATTCGCTATTTTTTTTATCTTTAAATAATAGTTATGGAAGCAATTTTTTTCCCTTGTTTTCCTGTCAAGTAATCAATAGTGAAAGTGTAATTTAATTTATCAAACTGTATTTTTTTCTTTTCTCATTTCGTTTTTATCAAAATATTTCAAAGATTATATTCATTCAAAAATTTTCAATTCTTTTTTCAGGTATTAAGTACGGGCATGCATATTTCAAAGTTTTCTAATTGGTTTAAAAATCTAAGCTTATCGATTTACTCTTTAATCTCCAACTTAATGACTAAATATTTTTATATTCCATTAAACGACTTTCCATTGTGTCGGTTATATGAATACGCCAGTTGAATATAATCTGTATCAGAAATCTGAAAGTTCATTTAGGTCAGATATACTTCCTGAAAATCTTCATTAAAAGCATCTAAAGAGCCGAAACATATTTTAATACATGAATTTTTTTAAATCCAATCTTCAGTTCGTTTTCCTGTCGTCTTTATTTTTATTTTTAAAACGATCCATTATTTCTTTAATTGCTTTCATTCTTTCTTTTTATCTAAAATTTTATATACTTTTATAGATTAGTAACTTCTTATGTTATCCATTTCATTCATCTTCTAAGATCAATCGATCATTTGGCACGCTAGCGGCAAGTCAAAATATAATCAATATAAAATGTGTGATTTGAATTCTAAATAGATGAATTTTAAATAGATTTTAATTTTGAATTTTAAAATGAGCAACAAAAATGCTTAATGGAGAAATGGGTGTTCAAAGGAAACAATTTTATTGAAGTGTGAAAGAGGAAAACAAAACAAACAAATAAAGAAACGAACGAAAAACAAAGCACCTAAAAGGAGCGCAATTTGGATTTGAAATGGCATGGAAATTTAGTGGAAATGTTGAATTCGACCTAAACGCTGGCCGTAATGCATTTCGATCTGATGCAAGTCTCGATGATTGGGAAAGTGTTGGTAAGCGAGAAATTTATTATTTATTACCAGTCTATTGATCAAAAATCATAATTGGGCACACCATTTTGAGTTACATCAAATTTGCCAATAATAATTTCCAGTTAATTATATCAATATTAATAATTGAAATTTGCATGTGTGTGTGTGTGTTTTTTCAGAAATTTTTTATATTTTCAAATATATATTTTTTAATTTTCAATAAATAAGCACACTTTTTATGCATATTCTTGAAAAAACACTATATATTTATTATGAATCTAAAAATTCTTATCAAAAATATTGAAACTCTAAAATGATTAGCCTCAAATAAGTAGGGACAAATGATTGAAAGTAAAATTAATCATGAAAAAAAAGAAGAAAAAAACTTCAAGGAAAACCACTAGAGTATAATTTTAATAATAAAATACTATTCGTTTATTTAATTGCTTCTTACATTAATTCTTTGTTTCCCTCAAAACCAAAGCTAAAAAAAAGACGATTATTTTAAATTAATTATAAATCAATAATTTTATTATTCATATCCTGTAAGATGTTTCATTTTATAGTGAATGAAAATAAGCTTGTTGAATAAAGTAAGACCAACTATAGCCTAAACTATAGCCTCTTTGCCAAGTCTTTTTAACTTTCGTGTCTAAAAAATCGATTTTCAAATCAATTCTCTAAAAGGACGAGATGGCATATAAGATGCAGATTTATAATTATTTCGACAATCTCAGCTTCCTCTTTTTTTTCCTGTTTCTATTTTAGTTTTCCTTTTTATAATGAAGTAAATATGAATGAATAAATGAAAAGTTAATAGCTAAATGAAATGAATTGACCAGGAAAAGAAAAAAAAATCAATTAGAAATAATAAGAATTGAAAAAATGTGTGATATGATAATTTTTTTTTGTGAAAGATTTTAATGTTTAAAAATTTCTTTCAACTTTTTTCTAATTTCCAAAATTTCAATTTTTCACTGAGAATTTCTTTTTTTTTGATACATGCATATGTATGAATTATTCCTTATTGTATATTGATCATGCATTATTTATTGGTAAATTAAGTTCAACATTTTGTTATAAAATATGAGCGGGAATGATTAGTAGAGTAATGCTTGGATGTATTTTTTGGAAGCTAACATATGTTAGCAGATTTTTGAAACATTATTTTAAACTGATTAATCGATAATTTGAAGGCAAAAGTGTAAATCATTTTTATATTCAATGTAAAATTGTGTTGCAGTAAATTGACATACAAATTAAAATAAAATTCGTATAATTTTTTTCTTTTTTTTGGAGATAGTGAGACAATAATGCGCCGTAACTCAGCAATTCGATCATTTACTGAATCGGTTGATTCGGATTTTCCACCTGCTCCAGAATTACCACCATCGTTAAATATCGATTTGCATTATCCAGACGAAGTAATGAAAAGAAGTGAAACTTCTGAGACAATTATTGAGGTTCATCTTTATTAAATTGATTATTGCTTTGGTATTGATTGAAAAGAT